CGCTGTCCTCTCTCGTCCTTTTCAGCTTCCTTTGGAAAGGCGGGGGCGTGGGTGTGGATTGATTGGCAGATAGTAGAGTTTTGGGGAAATCCGTTGATTGGGTGGTTGGGTGTTTGTTCAGCCCTGCCAGAACATCTTTCATGCTGGAGTACCTTCCTACCCATTCTTCCCTGATAAAACCACTGCCCATGGCTGATACATCGCGGTGGGGATGTGAATTCAATTAATTCCCAGGTATCATGGGTTTCTCACTCAACTGGGGATCTCAAAAACAAGAGCTACAGTTGCGCAGGACTTTGGTAGACCCCTAGGGGATGCACATGTCAATCTTTTCACCGTGGCTCCGTATGGAATGGGGAGCGGTTTTTTGTCTCGGAGCGAATAGTTAGTCCAAAACCCGCTTGTTTTTAATGTTCCCCCATAAGACTTGTCTGGTCATCACTTTAGTATTCTCTCCGTTTGTCCCTGCCCAACCGTTTAGGCACGATTTCCTCAACATCCTGCTTGATTTTCACCCCCCAATTACTGGCTCTTCTGCTTGAGTGCGCACCCCCACCTGCTTTCAACAAGACAATCTAACCACCCCAATAGCTTAGCGAGTGATACACCGTGACTTCACCTGCTGCCTCAAAGTGGCTTGCGCATATGACAAACTCAATTATAATGCCCACAATCATCACTGCGTCTAGCCAACCGTACCTCTCAGCCACCTACTCGATGTCCGCCTCCCCAGTGTATTCATTCCACCATGGATCAACATTGCCGACCAAAGTCTTGCCTGTTTTCGCTACACATTCCCATAGAGACCTCCTAACTTCCAACGATTCAGAGGGTGGTAATGAAAAGATTGTGCGCCCACTGGCATTGACCCTATCAAGGTCAATGTCATTCCTTGATAGCAACAGCTGAACCACAGCCCCTCGCGCATTCCTGATGGCCCGGTACAACGGAGTTGCGCCGTAATTATCCACAGTGTTCACATCCACCCTTTCATCCTGCATCAGCAGTTCCACCGTCGTCGCATTCCCACGTTCCGCCGCCACATAGAGCGCCGTGCGACCCGCAGGGTCCCTCCAATTGACTTCACATCTACCGTCGCTCAACAACAACCGAACAACTTCCACCCGAGCACTCTCCGCAGCCAGATATATCGGTGCGGTTGCATGCGTGCCCAGCAAGCTACTCTCGATCATCGTATGCTTCAGCAAAATCTTGACCATCTCCACATCCCCTCTCCCCGCTGCCACCCCCAGCGGGGTCATGAGTTGCGCGTTCGCAATGTTCACGTCCACCCGAGGACAGGCCACAAACGCCTGCACAAGTGCCCTGCGCCCGTCGCGTGACGCAACATATAGCGGAGTGTAGTTGTCTCTATCAAGTACGTTAATAGCGATATCCTCCCGGGAAAGGAATTCCTCGATCGCGGAGATGGCACCGTAGCGAGCCGCCCAGTGGATCATGGACCAGGACGCGTGGTCACGCAATTCTGCGGAGACGCCGCAGTCAAGGAGCGTGCGTACGGCTCTGCCGCGGTTCGGTTCTGTGATGTAGTAGAAGAGCCTCCTGTGACCCGGGCCCAAAATATCGAGGATCCCTTTCTCTATGAGGAGACGCACCATTGCTTTATCCTCGCGTTCGGCCGCAGAGTAGAACGCTTTTCTGGCGTATGTCTTCCGCCTAGAGTAGGGGCGGAACAAGCTGTCGATGAGGACGTGAGATAGGAGGTTTGCGAGACGTCGATTTGTCAGAACGAGAGAGTAGAGATCTCGAGGCCTCTCATCTTTGCAGATTTCGAGGATGAGTTCGTTTGGCAGACTCAGGAGCGACATTGTCGGTGATTGCAAGGAGGAATTAATTGTGATGCAGTGGTGGGTTGTCGGGTCAAGTCAGTTTAAGTACGAACCAGGGAGCAGCGTTTGTACTGTACTCCCATGTGATGACGCATAGGTTGTTATCGTACTGCATGCTACCGCAGTTACCCTGTTATTTATCTGAAAGTTCCGAAGGCGTCTCAACACCCTACTAATTATGACCACCGACCAATGAGAGCTCAACAGCTGAAAACTGCCCCCCAAATCTGCACTCCAGCCCCAACCGGCGGGATTGGGCATCCTTTCTCTCGAAATGCCAACATTGCAACAGCGTGATGCCCATTTTAAAAATACATTGACCATCATACCTGCAATCACCCCCCTCAGCAGAAGAGTCCCTCACGGCATGGTATCGAGTGAGAATCCATGAGGTATCCACGCGTAATCCTATCAGGCGCAGTAATTAACCGGGAGAAAAAAACCTATAATGTCCCTCTAATATTCCCCGCTATCACAAAAGATCCTTCCCGTAGGCGATATCAAGCCTAAATGGTTTGGGGGGTATCGGATACCAGAGGGATCACTAAGGCAATCTACTATCATAAAAGCTGACCGTCCTCGGCAGGGTATCACAGATCATATAGTCCCTTCCCAGGTCCCCAGCACCCCTAAACCGTTATTCCAAGTCCGCACCAAAAATCATTACACACATCTCAACAAGCTGCGTGAGGGAGTGCCATACTCCTCATTCCCTGTTATGATCGAGTCAACCCCCATCGAGCGCATAATATTACGAGAGGAGATGATATAGGAGGAGAGACAACTATCGCACATACACAATGTGCATTCCCCATTCCCTCCATACACTCCAATATCGCTAGAGAGAGGTCTATTCCACTAGTACATTCCAGCGTGCATACTCAAGTACTTCTCCCATCATGCTCCCCGCATATTCCCAAACATTCTACCCCAACTCGTGTATATTTTCGTGGGAGAGGCAATCTGGTGCGCTAGAGCATTCAATGTTCCGACCCCACAAACCGCCACCTTGTGAAACCCCCTCTCTAATGCTCGTGCAAACTGAGAGACATTCAACCGCCACAATATCTCGATGAGCAGCGCAGGGTCGATAGGTAGCACCTCCACCGTTATTCTCCCAATATTCTTCACGCAGGGCAATGGGATCTCAGCCCATATCGTGCTTGCTATATACACGGGTAAATTATATATATCATACCAGTTCCCGCCAAGAAAATAAATAAATAAATAAATACCCGTTCCCAGTGAACATTTTTATCGGAGGAACCATTGCACGATACCAAACTCTCTACGGAGAACCATCCCCCGTCACGCAACTCCGCCACCGAGTGAGCACTCATGACCACGACACGCCCAACTCCAGACCATCGGATGAACCAAAACAACCCAAGAACACACACTCCCACGCACACCCACCAAACAAATCAAAAAAAAAAAAAACATATCAATTCAGCCTCAACGTGCCCCTACTACCTACCTACCCCACATCCGTACATATGATAGATACAATGACCCAATTCCCCGGGGGCTCCTCCCAGGGAAAAAAAAAAAAAAAAAACGTACAAGTATGATACCGTATCATACCAGCGATCCCAGTCTCTCACAGATCGAAGACAGGGCCCGACGGAACAACGATAAAACTACCAGTACCGCGGACAGCTACCCCGTTTTCAAAAGAACAGAGATATATTATATATCATCCCTTCCCTCCTCATCCCTCATCCCCCACCCATCCAGGATTATCATACCAGACCATCACTCTTAATCACTCGCATACCATGTGGCTCAAACAAGCCTCCTCACTTCATCTTACCTTCCCGCCGCAGTCCAATTCTCAACTGTGCCAACTTACCGATCTGTTCCCAATGAGTACGATGCGGTACTGTACTCGTACGGTACCTCCTCCCCCCCCCCTCTCACCAAGCTCAGCCTAGCCCGTGCCAACCGACCGATCCAGGGCAAACGCACACGATCGAGAAAAAATTTTTCCCCATCATACCGTTACTGTACTCGAGTACCGCTGCCCCACGTAACACAAGTAGGGGGAAAAAAGGAATATTAAAACCTGGGGTTTGCCGCGCATCATGGCGCACCCCGCAATAACATTAATAGGAGGAGAAAAAAAATTTTAAAGTTCGCGGTTGGGGGCGCGAGTGCTCGTGTGATGTGCTGCTATACTGGTTAGCCGCAAGAAGTTTTTTTTTTTCTTTCCGCTACTTTTCGATTCTGCACTTATGTGTTACTCCTGTAAGATGAGTCCCGATCACGATCGTGATGGGCATGATACCAGTAAAAACTGTCCGTTCAAGATAAATTTCCTTTCCAACTACTAGGACGATAGATAAATATTTAACAATTCTCCCTCCTTTCACCTTTCCCTCGCACCTCCTATCCCCCTACTGATGGAAAATATAACACAGGTATGATGGATATCGAACAATCGTGAGGGGACCGCACACAATGACTATAAAAGCGCACTAAAAAGGAAGAAAAAAAACGAGCAAGAAGACAAGCGAAAAAAAGAAAAGAAAAGAAAAGAAAAAACCATCAACCGCATTCGTTTCCAACAGTGAGGGGTGCAGATAGATGGGTGGAGAGAGAGAGGGTAAAGAAGGGGAAGCAAGAGAAAGAGAAAAGGAGCAAAAAAAAGAGAAAACGGTTATAAATACTAGGTTCGAGCAGAAACAGTTTCGAAGATAAGGAGTAATGCAAAGACTTAGAAAATGATGATAATGCTCACGATAACGCGCCCCCAACCAACCAGCCCCTCCCCGCCCGCCCGTCCCCAGTGAATTCCAGATACCTGTTGTGGTGCTTGGTATGGTATGGAAATAGCAAAAAACAGCAAATTCAAATCAGAGTAGAAAAAGGGGAAAAAATGACTAGGTATAAAAAATGGATAAGTAGAAAAACTCCATATGCCCAACAATTTCTTCGAGTAGCTTTAGGGGGTTACTTTCACCGCATTTTTAAAGGCCAGAAAAGAGAAAGAAAAAATTGGTTTTGCTGGCCCTTGGTGCCAATTTGCAAAGAGTCAAGAGTTTACAACAAAAAAGGAAATAGATTACGGGAATGTAGGAAATAAAAAGGGAGTCAAAGACAAAAGAAATAAGGTAGCGTCCTGCCAGTTTGTAAATTATAATTGCACAACTATCGTCTCGATAGCGATGGCGAAAATGAACCCCATCCGTCTCCCTCACTAGGGGGTGTCGGCCACTTGGGTTGTTGAACATCCTCATCTCGTCTTCTTCGCCCAATCACGTCAATCGCTTTCGCGGAAGGATAATGTCGGCTCCCCGCATGTGGGCTTGGTGTAGGATACCCCACTGGAGCTTGTACTCCATTTTGATGCCTTAAATCCCGTGCTGAGCTTCTCCTGCTTGGCGTTTCATTGGTGCTTGGCTGTCGATATTTTCCTGATGCTACAGCCATCACCTCATCGACAAGTTCATCGTTCTCATCCGGCGTTTCGTATCGTTGCCTCGCATTCCTAATACTTCTTCGTGTTCGGGAGCTAATTGGCGCCGTTACAACTCCGTTGTTGGGCGCAGGCTCTCCGGCACGGGATCCGTTAGGTGTAGGAGGGAAACTTGAGTTCCGTCGGATCGATCCGCTCTTGGAAACCAACCCACTTGCATCATCCAATACACCATCTACATCCTTGATCGCCCGATCAAATCCTCCACTCTCCCCCCCATTTGGACTTTCCACCAACATACTACTCCTGTTACTCTCTCCCCCTTCCCTTCCTCCACCCCACGCTATCCCACAACCCATTCCAGCCTCCAGGTCCTCATCGCCAGGACTCGAAGGAAGTCCATTTTTTGCAGACAGCCTCCTCGCTCGTTTCCGTAAATGAGAAAAGAATCCTTCCTTCTGAGTCCCTGCAGAAGTCGGGCTAACCATACCACTTCCAGAGTTGCCATTCAACTTATCTACTGCCATCGCTATATGGGGATTAGAATAACCATTATTTTGAGAATTCGTCGAAGCCACCGATAACTGACGACCCAACTTCTTGACCGTCTTCTCTTCCATTTTCCTCCGTTCCCTCTCAATTGAAGGGGAATCATTTTCTCGCCTCGCCCTTGCTGCCTCAACAGATACCGCATCGCTCAGTGGTGACACTGGGCGAATGGTTGGCAGAATCATCATAGGCGCTGCGTTATTTGAAATCCCGTTCCCTGACGAAATTTTGGGCGCATGCCAAGTGCTCCTCTTCTCCGGCCGCGGTTTGTAGTCCCTCTCTACGGTGGTAGGTGGTGGGGAAACAATACCGTCGCCCCGTGAATTTCCAATGAAGGACTTGCGGAACCACGAAGACTTCTTCTCCAGAGTAGGCTGTGAATCGGTCATAGAATCTCTTGATTGCTTCATCACCAACTCAGATTGTTTCCTCAGCATGCGCGATGGGGTTGACGATCGCGGTTGAAGTGGGTCGACGGCATCTTTGAAGTACTCATGCTGAAGGGCTTGCCCCGATGTTGGCCGATTCCTTGGATCCCACATCAAACACTGAGTAACGAATACCGCTAACGATGCAGGCCATGTAGGGGCTGCAAGAATGGATTCCATTGGTACCGGTGCCATCTGTTTACTGTTAGTCTTGCTTAATCCCATTCCAAATATATAAGGGGGCTCTCGATATGTCGAGTAACTGAGCCAGTCATGGACAGTACAAGAACCAGACGCACCCTGGGAAAGCTGAACCCTAGCCGACCTGCTAGCCGTGAACCCTCCCTCCATTCACCTCCACCCATTTTCTTTCCACTTCGCCCAACCCACTGCCCCGGAGATCCCATAACCTCGCATACCCTCCACACCTGATCAACCTCATTTCCACCGGGAAACAAAGGCTTCAGAGTAGCAACCTCCACAGCCATCGCACCGACTGCCCATATGTCTACTGGAGCACTATACTCACCAGCTCTCAACAGCACTTCCGGCGCTCGGTACCATCTAGTCGAGACATATGTTGTGTAAGGCAATTTGGATGACGTTTCACGAGCGAGTCCGAAATCCGCAATCTTCACGGTATAGGTTGGTGGTGTTGACGGCGGGGTGACCAATGTTGAGTAACGGCGGAAAGAGCCGGATGAATCGTGAGGGTTGTGTGCGGAAGTTGATACGAGGATATTTTCAGGTTTGATATCGCGATGAAAAAATCCATGTGCATGGATATGCTCAAGTCCTGACAAAATCTGAAACCTACAAACGATTAATACCCGTCACTTCTGAATAACAGTCGATCAAGCTCACAATATGCTCTTAACAACGCTCCCCTCCAATAATTTACCCTCACGAGCTTTCATCAACTGGTATAAATTGCCATCCATATATTCCATGCAAATGTGAAGTCTTTTGCTATATGGGTCCAAGAAGATATCCAATGCGGGAACTATATGAGCGTGTGCCGGAAGCTGTTTCAAGAAGATTACCTCTCTCAATTCCAAACACGGTGTGAAGGATTCAAAAGTCTTCTTCATAGTTTTGATTGCAACCTGGGAAACAAATCAGCGTTGTCACCAATAAGAAGCTCTCACAATCCAAACATACCACACTGCCTCGTCTAGCAACATTGGAGCCTGCCGACCGCACCTTGGCGAGAACAACACTCCCAAAACTCCCATCACCTATATCTTTAAGAATCTCGAACCGATCCGTCAACGCCATATTCGCTGTTGATGTACTGCTAACCATTTTCGAACTTCATCAAGAAAAGAGACACCCGTCAGTAAAAGAAAAGGCGAGGCTTGTTAACGGGAGAAGTGGTTAACCGTTACCTTTTGGAAAAAGGAAAAGGAAAATTATTAAAAAAACGTATTAAAATCTTGACGGTAAACACAATCGCTAATTTTTTTCTTCCGCTAGAAAAAGATCCCAAACAAGAAAACCAAACAAATCCCCAGCACGCCCGCAACGAAATATATACCCCCTATAGAATTTTAAAAAGAGAAAGAACGCCCGGATCAGGTTATACAATCAAGATCAGCTAAGGGAAGCCTTGCTGCTGCTGCCGGACGAAAAAAAAAATAGTCGACAACGCCAGAGCGAGAGAAAGCAGTACACCGCTAAAGCCTTCAAGCGAAATATGGTTGAATAGAGTCGAAGCAGCCAGACTCGGTACCGTCCCAAGGACCAGTGAAGAGATCCTGAGAACAGAGTACGGTTGCAGAAGGAAAGCAAAGAGAGAAACGGATTGTAAGGTCCAGCTTTGGCGATTGTTACTGAGGATGAACTACAAGATGGGAAGAAAATGGATGGGAGAGAAGAGAGGGCGGGGAGGTAGAGCAGGATTGGGAAGGGGGCGTAGAAACACAGGCGGACCAATAGGGGGAGCTCTGGCTGGGATTGGGTGGAACCGAAGGGCTGGTTGGAGCGGGAACGGCCAGTGAGCAGTCGGACGAGTGAGCGTGGGGTGAGGATGAGTGGGTTGGGGAGAGTCAGCGGTAAAAAAAAAAAAAAAAAAAAAAAAGTGAGTGTGAGTGAGGATGGATGGATAGGCGGATGAGAACAGGTTGGAGCGTGTGTGCTGCTGCGAAAGGGAGGTAGAGAAAAGGTAGGTAGACACAGCAGGTGCGTTGGTGATTTATGTGATTTTCGAACGTCGCGCGCCGTCCTAACGAG